TACAGTCAATATATAAAGATAAGTTGCAATTTGATTTATAAATACTCTATGGGAAAGGAAGTAGCATCTCATTACAGAAACAAGATATATCGGGAAAATTCCAAATAAGGGCCTGAAATGATCATGACAGTTTCAAATAAGAGCCTAAATTTGCTGGTCATTGGACGGCGAAATATTCCGGCCGGCAACTAGCAAGGTCAAGGGCATTTTTGTCCAAAAATAATTTTAAATAATTTTATCTTTTCTTTTTTTTGTTTTTCCTTTCTTTTCTTTTTTTCCTTTTCTGATCTTCTCTTTGTTTTGTCGGTGGCCGGGCTGGGTGAGGGTCACCTCGCTAGCTGCCGGCGAGGGATGGCCTCACTTGGATGAGACCGCCCTCGAAAGCCACAGGTGTGGGCCGGCCTCACTCGGGCGAGGGTCTTGCCGTCGCCCAGGCGAGGCCAACCCTCACTTGTGGCTTTCGAGGGTGGCCTCACCCAGGGTGGGGGTCGCCTCGCCAACAGCCGGTGAGGATGACCCTCGCTCAGATCTGGTGAGGGCCGACTTGCCCATGGTCGACGACTTCTTGCCAGTGAGGGTGGCCCTCGCCAGATCGAGTGAGGGTCCCTTGCCCAGCCCTTTTTGGGCTTTGTCATTGGCCGGCCACCGGTGAAGAACAAAGAGTAACTAGAAAAAGAAAGAAAAATGGAAAAAAGAAAAAAAAGGAAAAATTCAAAAAAAGTAAAAAAAAAAAAAAAGTAAATGCCCCCACCATTAAGAAAGTTAGGCCCTTCTTTAAAATAGAAATAGCCACTTTAGACCTTTATTTGGCATAAAATCTACTTTAGACTCTTATTTGACACGTAGTCCACTTCAGGTCCTTGTTTATGGAAAAGAACCGTTTTGGCATATGCAAGGACAGTCCTCACATGATAAAGCTGTGTTCTGAGCCCGGCGGCCATCTAGAAATGTCGTGTCAAAAACATCAAGAAATTTTTGCACGTTTACCCAGCTACGCAATTCATTACCTTACACAACTCATAATGATTAAGAGCTGGAGAACTCAAGAAACACATTCAAAAGACCAAGAAAGTAAGAGCTGTATAATTTTCTTATTGCACGATTCTCTGGGGAATGTAGAAGCCAGTTGACTTGATTTTTATTGACATTGCGCACCGATACTTTTTCATTGCCAACCACGATGCACGGGTGGGAATTAAACACGGGTGGGAATTAAAGGGCCTTCTCAATGCACTGACAAATCGGGCATCTCCTGTAATGCTTCGTTATATCTGCAATTTTTGCTATGCTTACATTCCCGATGTTGGATTCTCTCAAACAGTTATACTGCTGTTTTGTCAGTCGCTTGTCAGGGTTGTAGAATCGCGCACTGGAAACCCAACATGCCACTCGTTGCTCTTGTTTCGGGACCTTCTAGTTTGTACGACACTTTCTCCGGTATGTTATAGTTGTAAAGCATATTTCAATTTTCTGTTTTTCCATAATCCATTTTTGTGCGGGTTTTTTGTCTTAAATTTGACATGATGGTTTACAGTAAATTTCTATCTTAACCTAGCTGTCATCATTTTCCTTTTTCTCAGGATGACACCATCAATCTATATACATATGCTGTTCTATGATTGATTCCTCGTGCTCTCTCGATTGGGGTCAAGTTCCTTGTCCTATCTACGCAAGGGATGTCTGCATCCGCTGCCGTGACAGGGCCTGCCGTGGGAAGCGCAACTTCTCTTTCAGAACCTTTCCATGGTTCATGTGGTACGTCCACAGGTGACGATCGCAGTCATGCCATGAGACCTCTGCAGCATGACAGATGGTCCAAAGGAAAGGATGGTTTTCTTATCACAGATATCTGGCAAGCTGAGCCTGGAAGCTTAGTTTCTGTCACTCCATCAATTTGGCTCCAGCAGACTGAAGAGAAAATACATCTCTGTGCTTATCAGCACAAGAGCCTTACCTTGATCCTTCTAATTCCTGTGTCCTCTGTCATTAATGGGGAACAAGGCATTTTAGCAGTGAAGCAGCTAGTTCTCGAAATCGTTAGTCCTCCACTGATGTCTGTTTTAGCAGTGAAGGAGCTGGACAAGATCTTGTTCTTTGAAAATATACAGAAGCATGTATGGGTGAGGCATCATCGTTTATGTTCTGTTGGCTTCACTATGATGTGTGATGGTTAGACCCATGAACGATTTGAAAAAAAAAATGTTCATCTTAACCTTAAAAAGAAAAAACAAAAACCTGAAATCCGACCTGGACCAACCCTATCTAGATTATCAGTTTGGGTCCTATGCGATTTGGGTTGGGTTCGGTTAAGAGAGAACACAAATATGGTTTGGGTAGGAGGGAAACCCGACCCAACCATGTGTCCACATATAGAGGCAACGGGCATGTCAACTCAGAATTTTTTATTTTTTTTGGTCGGGTAACTCAAAATTCCAATGTGCTATCAATATCAACTTTTTCAGCTTAGACTCCATTTATTTCATGAAAAATAAATTAATTAAAAAATATTTTTTTGAAAATTATTACTTGTATCAATTGAAATGATTAGCCAATAAAATATGATTCATTGGTAAATCTACTTTGATAAATAGTTCGTCTCGCCATGACCTTCTCTTGAATTTTCAAACTTTTATTGCTCCATCCCCGCAAGGGCAGAAAACCCATCACTATCTAAGCTGTGCTACCGGAGGCTCTAGGGAAGTCAGAATTAGTGGTGAGCATGGTCCGGATTGGGCCGGTCCACCCCCTAACCCTAGGACCAACCCGCACAGTGTTGGTCCTCAATTTTTGGGACCGAGGACCGATCCTATTGAGCCTAGGACCGAGGACCGAACCGACCCAATGGGTTCGGTCCGGTCCAGGGTCAACCCGGACCAACCGATAATTTTTTTATTTCATTTTTTGTACCAGGTTTAACCCGAGACCAACCGACCCAATGGGTTCGGACCGGACCGAGCGCAGTGAGTGGCTGTTGAGGAAAACTCCTATTGATTTTGAAGTTGACAAAACCTTCCATGTTATTGTAAATCTGATACTTATTCTGAACTAATTTATTCCAGGTATGTATATTCTGGAAGCTCAGAAGGAAGTTTTTCAAACTTTACAAGCTGGTAAATACATTATTGAAGACCCACATAATCTAAGTTCTGTTTGAAATTATTCGACGCCGACGGAGAAATTTTCGAAGCGGATGCGTGAAGCGAAATTTTTCGAAGCGGACGACGAAAATTCTTCGAGATGCGAACTCGAACGAAAAACTAAAAAATATTATATTATATATATTATACCGGTCCGATCCGGGTGGGCGGGTGGGCGGTTCCACACCCGGAACCGGGAACCGGACCGGTACCCACCTGGTTCGAAAAAATTGGAACCGGGAACCAGACCGAAACCCTTAGAACCCACCGGTCCTGGTCCGGTTCCGGGCGGTCCTGGGCGGGTTGGGCGGGTATCAGGTTTTTTGCACACCCCTAGTCAGAATAGGAGAGCACTCATCTTGGGGTGGGCTTACTACTTAGATGCTTTTACTAATTATTCGCTCCACACTTATGTTTTCATAATCGACAATAATTTATATCTAAACATTTTCATGGATAATGACAATATTTTTCATTCATTCATTTTTATAAGAGATACATGTAATTAATTTTAGATAAATATTTTTTAAATTATTCATTTTTCGCGAAATAAATGGATAATTAGTATATAAAAAAACTAGGGCTAGCCACCCAGCAATCATGCGCCCAGTTGACTAGTGGGTTTGTGGCCCAGTGGCTCGACCTAGGTGCGATTTTTTTTTCGTTTTCTTTTATAAGAAGAAGAATACCCCTCCGACCAAGGTAGCTCTTAGTTGTAATCTACCAATGCAGTTGATACGTACTTGAGAATGAGCTACTTCGAGTACATTAAAAGAGTTAAGGAAGACAACGTCAACATTCTTATGTAGTGAACGAGCAGAGCTTCACGTTCTCCAATGCTTTCCACCATGGCTCGTGACCTTCTAACACTACTTGTATATGACTGCGAAAAATCTAGAAATAATTGTCCGTGGACATGATTGGCTATCGCAAGAATTGTCTCCAGCTGAACACGAAGAAGAGGGCAACAATTGTCCCAATCATAGGGACGGTCATAGCATCGAAGACACCGAATTAATTTTTTAAATTAAAAGGCACAAATATAGCTGTTGACCAACCGCTACAAATAAAAATACCAACCCAATCTGCCTATGTTTTGAGCACTGAAACCAAAGGAAGAGGCAAGTGAAGAAACACCTAAATCAACATTCAAAAGTCGAGAAACTTTACGCTCTTCACGTTAGCAACCAAACAAAACAACAGGTAGCCCGTTTAAACGTCAATGTACACGGGTTGAGTAATCGACAGAGTAAAGAGGCATCGACACTTGGAAACTGTTCGATTGTAAAGAAAGGTCAGACCTGAGCTGTCGTGCAGTGTGCAAACGATGGATGCACAATTTTGCGTATGACCTGAACAAGGAAAAGGGACGTTTGTTACGGCACAAGAGTGCAAACTGCTGTCAACAGGGTCATGTAGGGACACTTGTGATGGCCCAAGAGTGCAATTGCTCTTCAATATTGCAATTTATAAATTTAAAGTTCTTTTGATATTTTTGGAACCTTTTCTTTACAAAAAAAAAATGATTTCAAAGTTAAAGTAAAAAAAAAATAAAAGAAAAGGGCTTGGGCAATCTATATTTGCCAGCAGACTTCTCAAAGGTAATTACAATTGTTTGTTGATTTTCTCATCTCATAACCGGTCGCAGTCACTGGATTCCATACAAAGATTCTTCAGTTTGATGGGATTCTGTTAAAGCAAGACAGATGAGACAATGCTCGAAAACGCATCGGCACGTTCATACAGTTAGCCTTTGTCTTTCGACTCGTAAGAACATCTCAGGCAAGAAAGGACCTAACTTTGGCTCCTAAAGGCAGATGTACAAATTCTTGTGAACATAGAGATCCACGATGATCCACAAGCTGAAGGCCACCAGCAGAATGATCACTCGGCCACCAAAAGAGTTCAAGAGTATCGCTGCTATCCACAGAAATGAAAGCGCAAAAAGAAGAGGAAGAATTTCTTTTTTTGTGCGAGAATTTGTATGACAAAAGACCTATTTCCCTTCCTGTGCTTGGTCAGCAGAGACGGCAGGAGCGGCGCTGCTAACCGTAACAACGCTGGCAGGCATGTTAGGACTTCCGGCTTGGATTATGCTGCTGGCTTCGGGAGTAGCTTTTCTTTCCACATTAGCTGCTACAATAGCTGATGGCACACTTTCGTGCGAAATAGGGGTTATGGGAGATGCGCCTGTCACTTGCTGCTTTTGTGGCATTTCAGCAGAAGAACTGACAGTTCGAGGGGTCAAGCCAGTTGATGAGCCTACGCCAGTTTTCGGCTGGTCTGCAGTGGCCGAATCAGTTGCATGCAGCTGCTGCAGCCTGTAGTCAGTTTCAGGCCGCCGGCACACCTTTCTTAAGGGCACGATTTCCTGATATATAGGACAAAGTAATTGTCAGAAACACAAAGATCATCTTCTCAGCCCCTCTCAACTATACTGCAGGTGACTAAATCCTCAAGCAACACATGATTAAGTCCTTGAGCAATTCATTACTATTAAAAAGTTACCTCAGAAGCATCTGCGTCTAAATAGGTCTAGTCATAGTTAACTAATTCTATAAGAGTGGAAACAAAAACATTATAAACCTCAAGGCCAACAACTTCTATGTTTCTCACGGACATACGGTATTAAGCCATCACAATGTCTTGATGAGCAGCCTAAAGTATATACACGATCGTATGGTTCAATTCTCATGGATGAAGACTAACAAGATGACTTTTCTTTTGTTCCTATAAGATACAAATTTATTCATAGAGAAAACTGTTTATTTAAATCAGAAATATAAAATAAGAGGTAAAAGAAACTAACAAGACAACAGTTCCAATGACAATCAGTGAGGACGCTTAATTTTCTATTCCAGAAACAACTAGAGACAAATTACAAATCCATGGTTGTCTAAGCAGAATTTCATTGAGGAAAATAGAGCATCAATGCATAATCTTTTTTGGCCAGTTGGATGAGATAGACTCTTACCTCTGATTCATCATGGTCATAACGCACCAAAAATCGACATCGACAACCTCTTACGTCATGCCTTCGTCTTTGTGCATCAAGGACATGAGCATCGAAGTACAGTGCCTGATCTTTACCTTCCTGAAACATCAATCAAAAGTTTCCAGGACATTTATTAACAACCAAATTCTTTTGTCCTTCAAAAATAAGCAATACAGCATACAGGGTGTATATTGAGATACCTGAAAACAAAGTATGAGATCTCCCGGAAGAACAGCAACACATTCCGATGCTTCACAAGGGAGAGAGCGCATCCTGACATGCTTACGAATATTAACCCACTCATCCTCTTCAGCTCCAAAACCAGAAAATCTTACTAATACTTCCTGAAAAAAGCTTCCGAAGTTTACCGCACTAGAATATAAAGAAAGAAGGCAGAAAAGCAAGTTAACGTGCTTCCAGACACTGGAGCAGATCTTCATGAAATCAAGACGCAGAGCAGCAAATTTACCGGGTCACCAGTCTCCAAATTCCTGTGTGCCAAAAAGGTCGAAACATCATACCTGGGGACAACCAACCAATTACAAACAACACGCAAAAGAAGCGGATGTGATAAAAGAACAAGCAACCAAGAAAGCACAATAAACGAAGCACATAAAATTCTAGATCTCAAAAACTATAAATACCAACCATGCACCATCCCTAGCTGACTTAGCTTCAAACTCCATAACATTATCCGAAGCAGCCCTTCCTGCACTTGGAACTGGCTAAAAAATGAGACGACTAGATTTCAAAGTGCCTTAAAACTACAGAACAAAAAGTTAAGAAGACAAAACTATTATCCTTTTTTTCTTTATCATGTCTAGTGTGGTTAGTTTCACAGATCATGAAACAACATATGGGAGCAGACTACCCATAAAATTGATTACAAAACTCTTTAAGATTCCTTCATAAAGCATATTCATTGAAAGCACCAACTAAATGCATTCCATTTGAAGAGGCAACTAATGTTAGACGAAGGGGTGGTACTTCAAAGACAGTTTGTAGCATCACAAGACGCAAGGCTTAGAATATAGAGTAGACCGCAAAGTAATACGGTAACATGTACTGATCCATCCTGAAACATGCCGGGGCCTACCTATTGTTTCATAAATAAGTTCCAGAGTGTTCCGAATAAATGATAGCACAACTACTAATCGGTGGCAATCATCAAATTGTGTAATTTCAGTTAGCCATGTTTGAAGAGAATAACGAGATAAAGGGAGTGATGAAACAATAGACTCTTTGGGAAGCTTTGTAAAGCTTGCCGTCTGTGAAGAGGAGTATCAGAGAACCTATCTTTATAGTAGAATCGTATTTTTCAGATTACGTCTCATCCTGGCCTTTACAGTCACCACAAACTGGCTGAAAACAATCAACTATCACTATCAGAGGACCAATTTATCAGCTTGTAGAATTATCTAGATGAATGGATCAAGCCTTTGGGAAAAAATTCATGAAAACAGTTAAAAGCAACGGCCCACTTTCAAAATATCAATCAATGCAACTGACTTAGGAATAGCAAGAGGGCCACATCATGCTCATCATCAGCATTTACAAAAGCTTTAAACGGCACATCTTCGTATCAATTCATAAAGTCCTACCAGTTGGAGCAGGAATAGGTGCAGAAACTGGAGCAGCCATAGGTTGCATGACATTCCTCACTGGAATCGAGTCATCCCGAGTAAAAGGAGAAACATTTAACTTTCCAGGAACCTTAGTTGTTTTTGCCCTGATTGAATACCGTTTATTCTGGAACCAATTCCAGACCTACACAAAGCATAAAGAACAACAGTGGTAAAACCACACTATAATGCCATGACCTGAAAGTGCAATTCTTACTTGCTTCATCTGCACAGCTAACCCTTTCCGTTCGGGTGCATTACTGCATAATATAAGAAGGGCTCTGAGTTCCAACTGCAGTTAACAGAGAAGAACTAATCATCCAGAAATCAATTCTTAAAATGGGACATACCTAAACCTCTCCGCAAGAGCTACAAGAACTTCACGTGCCGGCATGGTATTGTTGTGTTGTTGTAAAATAGCTTCCATCTCAGTAACCTTGACGAAGAATGCCATTACATTAGCGGAATTTTCAAACTCCAGTAAAAAGCTATAAGAAAACCAATTGATTCCACAACGATTGGGTGAAGATTCTTCCAACTGCATATTGGTAATGCATAATATTATCAAACAGCTGCCCTGTTCTGGACATCCTATTGCCTTACGTGTTTAGCAAAAATATGGCCAAGGACCATCATTACTTGTGGAAAAGTTCAAAAATGGATACAAAATAAAGGCTAACAGAAGCTAACCATCCCTTCCAAGTCTACTAGAGAGAGCCATGCATATATAGCAGGGCCATGGGGAACTACATGTCCTTTTCTTTTTTTCGGGCCACTACAATATATCCTATGTCCACACTTCCATATTATGTTACTGTAAGGTCATTATATAGATTAAGCATTCAAAAATTGACCAGTGAAGAGTAATAAAAAGGCTGATCTAACTAGATGATTCTAGGCCGTTACAGATTTCCTGGTGGAGCCAAACGGTCATTCCTGCCCCGTAATTACAGCTAAAAGAAAGCTTAAATTTACTTAATTCCCCAGCATTGAAGCCAAACTGCAAAATGGATCACACTACGTCTACAAATGCGAACGATCAAAGGGACTTGTCAATCGAAACTTGACTATGTCGCTCTCGGTAAAATGAATTCCCTTCACAGATTTCAAACATGTAATTCCAACAAAGTTAAAAAGCAACAACAATAACAAAAAGGAAAAATTCCAAAAATCCCCCTGAAGGGGCTCTTGTTTCTTAAAGTTAACCCAGACTTGATTTTGTTTCAAAACACCCCTAGACTTGGTCTATTCATCCAATAACCCCTGGAGCTTATCACCGTTGATAATAATGGTTGGCCAATGAATATGCGCTCGTCATGTGCATTATTTGCGCCTTTTAAAGGGGCATGTTAATCGGAAAAAACACATTTCTCCCCTGCCACTCACGTGCGTATGACAAACGTTAAAAAGGCCCCAAATTTGCCCCAGCTTTACAAATCCGAATGAAATGGCTAGCACTTCTCGAGCATAGATTGAAAATCTGGAGATGGATGATCACTTCAACTTGGTGAAGAGTTGTAACGAGAATATTGTGGACTGAAGTGAAACTAGCTAGGTTCTTTCTTGCAAGCGAGAAGTACGGGGCAAGGTCAATCGAGGGTTTTTGTCCCTATTTCAGTTGAGGGTTTTAGGGTATTGGTAAGGCTCGAAATGTGCATGACGAGCACTTGTTTGTAAACCGGCCATTATTTCCACGACGATGAGCTCAGACATTATTAGGTAAAATTGATCAAGAATTTTAGAACAAAGTCAGATCTGGGGAAACTCTACGAAACGGGCGCCACGGATCATCATAAGCTATTAAACATGCACCACTTCACGGGATTTGGAGTTTTCCCTAATAATTATAACAAAAAGAAGACGCGCCACGGGATCATCAATAGCTCGAACTTCCCATCAAGAGCAAATCTTTCAGCAACGTAATAGCTAAACAAAGCAATCCCAGGTTCAGTTTCAGGATAACGATGCAGAAATTTCCTTATCAAAACAATCAGCGTCAGCCGTTGTAATCCAGCATTGCACACGATACGCCGATCATCGTCGATCGAGAAGGCATAAAAAAGAGACGCGCACATCGAAATTACATTCCAAAAGGAGAAACAAGAATAGGGTCGACGAATCCCACAGGACTCTCCACATAAATTCAACTCAAGAGCGCGACCAGCGTAAATCAAAGGATGTGAAATCAACCTCGCCGTGCCCAGACGGACAAAGAATTGACGGATAACGAGCGGGAGAAAGGACAGGCAAAGAAGAGAGAGAGAGAGAGAGGAGAAACGAAGTACGCGAAATCTGTTACCTCGGGAGGCGAGAAACGAAAGGCAGGGCCGCCATTGCTGGGAGGTCTTCCCATGGTGAAGAGAGCCGAAGAAGAGAGCGAGCGAGAGAGAGAGAGCGCAGCCAAGAGACGCTCACGACGGTGCTCGGGCGCTCGATTTCGTATGTGAAAGTGCTTCTGCTTCACGTGAAGCTGGGAGAGACGGGAACACGTTGGCTTTACATTTTTTGCAGGTTAAAAATCCTAAAAAAAAAATGGGGGAGGAGGGAGACGAAGGGCGGGGGAAAATGGGCCTTGAAGATTCGGCCCGTTTCATGGCAACGTTTGCCCCGTTACTACGGCCCATTAAGAGGTTTTGGGCCCAAGGCCCGTTAAGAGGTCTGACGCAATTAATTAGGAGGCAAGTTTCATTCTCGGCCAATATGCATGCAGGTCTGCTGGTAAAGGGATTGGTGGGTGGGGACTCCCACGCTCGGTAAGAGGCTACGCAAAAATCAAACCAAGAAAGGAAAGTTAGAGATAGAACAAAAGAAAAAAAGTGTTATTCTCAAAGTTTACCATGATATTCCACAAAAAGACCTTCGTAAAATGATAATTTGACTCCCATCGTTTCTCTCACTCTTCGTGCGCGCGACTTACATTTAGATGAGTAGACGCAAATGTTTTGCACGGTACTAAATTGAAAGTGATGGCCTACACGAAAATGACGACCGAAAGATGGTTCATCAATAGGTCTTCCCCTTAGTGCAAATACCCGGATAACAGTTGTTGATCACCTAAAGCATGTCTCGTGCGCACATCTGTAATTGATAGCCAACACAAAATGGCGACAGAAAGATGGTTCATTTAGCTGTAAACTAGGCCTTCCATTGGTGCAAAAATCATGATAACAGTTGTCGATCACCTAAAGCGAAATGTCTTGTATTTACATTTGTCTAAAACAAAAAACCAACGAGCACGACCATTTTAGTTTTAGGGTCTTCTAATAGGCACGGGCATTTAGAACTTTTGATTAGTAGCAAGAGTAAGATGTTACCATCGGTATCTGCATTTTGTCGTATCACCATTGTCGCTAACTCGTCTCCACCAACTAGTCTATTCCTCGATGGAGATCTAACTACTAGTTTCCAAACTGAAATAAGGAAATGCATTTGAAGGGTGGTATTTTTTATTTTTTTTTATTAATACCACGAAAAACTCCAAATTGGTATGTCTATAATAAATTTACCATAAACTAATTTTTTGACCACCAAAAATCCTAAACCGATACACATATGATAAATTTACCCTCCGTTAGTTTCCTTTAAATCTTATTGTCAATTTGCTGAGTTTGATAATACGTGGCAATTGACGGGTGTACTGATTTGGGGTTTTAATCTTCGTTTGTCACAAATGTACCAGTTTGAGATTTTTCGTGATATTAATCCAATTTAACGGAAATTAACGGAGAGTAAATTTGTCACAACTATACTAGTCTGGTTTTTGGTGTTCAAAAAATCAATTTAGAGTAAATTTATCAAAGGTATATTATTTTGGAATTTTTTGTAATCAAAAAATTAATTTGGGGATAAATTTATTATAGGTGAACCGATTTAGGATTTTTCGTAGTATTAACTTTTTTTTGTATATTTTTCAAAATCTTTTGTGCTTGGCCCGTCGAGCCCATCCCCATCTACGGGCGGGCGGGCGGGCAGGCGGCTTCGCGAGAGAGGTGGGCAAGCGGGGCCGGGCTCAAGTGAAGAAAGGCCAAAGGCCCAGCATCAAATTTTCATGTGGGAAGATGGAGTGGTGGCAGTGGTGGCCTAGGTAAGGGTCAACCTCCCAAAACCAGAACAGAACCGGCCACGTTCATTTGTCTTTTGGTGTGGGATAAGGATAAAGAAGAGAACGAGAGAATCTGATCCTTCATTCGTCACCTCCTGTTCAAGCTAAAACTGACGAGCTCCGAAATTCCCCCAAAAAAGAGAAGAAGAAAAGCATAATAGATAGAAAAGGTAAGGGAAACGGAAGGTACCTTCGAATGATGATTAGGTGGCCAATTCTCGTCACTTGGTCATGAATTGCAATGAGGTGACCAGCTATGCTTGTCCGTGAATTTTGTTGTCTTGGTATTATTTTAATAGATTTAAGCGTTAATCGAGACTAGACATTGCCACTTATATAATTATTCTTTTTTGTTACAAAGCGACATGCGCACGCTTCGAGTAGGTAAATTACTTACTCGCGAGATATTTCACTCTGGCTTTCGAGTGATACAGGAAGCGAACCAAATTCGATCGGATGGTAGGTTTTCGATTGGTTGGTCGGTCGAATAACCAGACTTGTAATGGGTGCCTAGTTCCTAAGAAATTATCTCTACGGTGTTTAAAAAAAAGGACCCTTCTCATATATTTGAATGGATTAGTTCAAGCGTTATCGTTATCGAAAAGAGCAATTTGAGTTCCTTTGGTTGAAAAAGTGCGAGAACATCTCATTATTCTCGCGCATAATCTCTTGGAGTCGAGTCCCGACAAGGGCATTCCTTATGCTTTCACCTCTAATTAGAAGGGCAGCGAAAAACAGTTCAATACGGTCACGGTAGTTCGTTCGAAACAGCCCGACTAGAATGCCGATAATGGAGTAAAAGAAGCGACAAGGAATGCGCGAGCTGAACATGCTGAGGTCGTTTTTCACGTGTCAATTAGAATTCATTCGAGCCAATCGAAGATCCTCGTCGTTCGTTTCTTTTACCGCGTCCAAAGGGGTGGAAGAAACGAGCTCGTTTATGAGCGTACAAGAAAACACGACGCCGACAGTTCGATAAACTTCGTATTGAGCTCGTGATTGAATTCGGAAATCCCCAGGAAAGCGGATGTAGTTAGCGGTTAGCGGTTATTCATTGACCATGTTCTTCCCCGGCACAAAACGTGTTGACCTTGGTCTCCATTGCAGCAAATTAACCTAAACCACTGCCCATTCATGTGGCTTTGCTGATTTAGTCAGCAATGAGTTAGGATATTGAATTCGTTTATATATATTTCTCCCTTTCCAATTGATATAAAGAAATCGTTATCATGACCGACGTGAAAATCAGCACGTGAAGCCGAAACCCATTTACGAAGCGATCGACGATTGATCTGATTGATTCCTGTTGTGCGCTCGTGCGCATTACTATGTTGGCGTCATCTATGGAATCGCCTGTATAATCGACATTAAACCGAATTGAATAAGCATGGCTAATGTTGAGATTCACTTGTTTACCGCGGCGTAATTGCTACCCATGTTTAACGGCCCGATGGGTACATTTAAAATTGTTCACCTCGCAAATTATAAGATGGAAGAATTTCCGGTGACTTGTAGTGTTGAGATATGTCTTGAATCTGAACTCATGAAGAAAACTTAATCGAAGTAGATAAATTTATGTGAGTAGTTTTCCTATTTTGAGTAATTTCCTTGTTTAAGTAGGTTTCCAAGTTTTAGCCGGTGTCTTAAAAGGGGTTCTTTATTTTGGGCACATATATTATAAGTGATCGAACTCTACTCGGCTATCATATACAAGAGTAAACAAGAGAAGTGTTACGATATTATTTCGGTGGGTTTTCCGAGTGAGCTCTCATTCATCGTGGGTTTCTTGGCAGCCCAGCTCTCCCCGTGGAGTTAGCATCGATCCTCGGACCGCGCCACGCGAATCTCCAGTGACCTCATCGATTTCCCCGGTAATTCCTTCTTCTCGCATTGGACTTAAATTGCAAAATTCGTGAGCTCCCGCGTTATTTTAGTACCACCACGCAAGTCAAAACTTAAAAAAAAAAAAAAAAAAGCCACCGATTTTTAGAGGATCGAACGATCGAATCAAACACGGGATGGTCGTGAACCTTAAATTTGTGGCTGAAGGCCGAGGACCCATCTGAAGAAAGAGAGGTATTTTCTGCATTAGGGGAATATGCTTTCAGCATTTTTCATGGTCTCCCCTCTTCCTGTCCTCGCTCTTCGCATTACGTAATGTTTATATACCGAAAATCAACCTTTGCTTATGCAATAAAAAAGCTGGGTCGAAGTATTCATCGATGAATTTAGGTATATTCTCTGCTGCGAATGCTGACCGTTTTAACTTAGCTTCTTTCGACCAAAAAAAAAACAAAAACAAAAAACTTAGATTCTATATTCCATTCAATTCTCCAAATATTTATAAAATAAAATTAGAAAAAAAAAAGGGAGTAATTTCTTTTATAGGGTCAACTTTTTCGTTCTTTCTCTCTTTTTTCCTCTTGTTTTTTGCCCTGAAGGGTCAACAAGATTCACCTGCCTCCGAATTCTAAGGTGGTAATAAGATAGTGGGTGGTTGTCAAACCCAAGTGGTGTGATGGTTTTAGGAACCTAATGGCCCAGGTTGAAATTTTTTAGAATTTCTTCGTTTTTCGATTTTCGATGGGATTTTCTTTTTTCGTGGGTGAGCTTCGAGAAGGCCTTCTTTTTCCTGTAATTAAGAGCGGGCAGAATAATTTATTTATTGTTTTATCTAACTCATTACCTCCATTAATATGCATAGATAGTCATATGTAGAGCTCATGATTGAGCAGGAAATTCACCCAACAGTCGGTTGGACTTCTTTAAATGATTGTAATAAATCGGGCCTTTTTTCGAAAAAAAAATTTTACGGGTCATTCTCTTTTGATGAGATAAGAAATAGAACTTGATGGATTAAATAGGAAATAACCAAGACTTTCCTGTATTTCACCTGTTCTAGCAAAAGGAAAGTACGTTAGCCCCCCATGAGAAATAATCGTGAAATTAGACAAAAAGAAAGGGAGGTGCGTAAATAAGAAATAACAAAATTGGGGGAATTTCAAAATAGGAAAGTTGATGAGATAGGAAATAAAAAAAAGAAATTAATTTTTATTTGATTTATTATCTGCGTACTGGTAACTTCCCCTGTCTCAAGGAGGTGGGGGGGTGGGACTTACTGCTATTAATAAAGAGGAGAAAACTCCATGAGCGGTTAAAGAAAGCTCTCTGTTTTCAAGAACCTAAAAAGAAGAAAGAATTTCCATCTCTCCGGCAGCATCGAGGAGGAACAAGAGATTTTTCTCTTGCATTATGAGCTCTCGCTCTCTCCTTATCTCCAGTCTGCGAAATTCTTCAGGACCCACAACGATCGACGGATTCTTCGTCACTCTTTAACGGGTCAGTTTTTGCGGGGTATCCTTCGATTTTTCCGACTCTGT